GGTACTGGAAGGCCACGACTGGGTAACTCTGGAACTTCTTTTTTCCAGGCTAAACATTTCCAAATGCCTCAGCCTTTCCTGAGCAGTATCCATGTGCTATGTAAAAACATGGGTTTTTTCCTCTGTAGGAGCCATTCCTCCCAGAGTTTCAGTGCAATTTCCCGTTAATGGTTTGTGTCAGAGTCACGTTTTGGTCCTTGGGCACCCATTTTTATTGTGCTGCAGTCAGGCCAAGTGGCTCCATTCCTGCTGCTTCTGAGGCAGCTCTGGCACATCAACGCTAAGTCAAGTCTGTGAACTTGAGTACGAGCTGCTCCAAGAGGCAGAAACTGCTCCTTTGAACTGCCTCACACTGTGCTATCTGACCAGTTTATTCACATGTCATTTAAGTCCCCATTATCATTTGGTTCGACTTTCCCACTTCTTTGATCTCTGTCAACATTATGCACCCAACATCCTTTTGTGGATGCAGGAGCTGGGAGTAAGAAGACTGCTCAGGTATTTACTGTGGTACGGGTTGGGAGTGGAAACCTCTGGGAGCAGAGGTGATTCCAACTCCAGCTGCAAGTGCACTGCAGCACTGGGAACAGTCTCCTTTGTCCAGGGTGATCCCAGAGCGTTCATTACAGCAATTCCAAGGGCCAATTATCACTGCTCTTCTGAACCCTCCTCCTCTAACTGGATCTGTGATTGATTTTCTCCCTCTGAATGGTACATGCCACCTAAAAAAAAGGGCAATTCAGGCTCCTCCTCCTCCAATTCTCACTCAATCCATCCTAAATAGATCAATTTGAATGTTTTTTAAATAATTATTTTTCAGGGGGGAGAGGAGGAAGGATAATCCTTGGTTTGGGGGTTCAGAGCCTTTAGGGAGCTTTTTCTGTGGGTTTTTTCAGGTTTGATTTTATTTTCTTCAAGGTTTTTTCCTGAAGTGTTAAGTTAAAACACTGCACTCCGTGGGTAAGTGAAACTTGACTTTCTCCTACAATCCCCTCATTATGAAACTGCTGAGTTTGCACAGAAATGGAATGAAATTGCAATGAAATAATGGATGTTGGGAAAACTAGTTCTACACACTGCCTGCCCAGTAAGACTGTGCTACTGTCCCACACATGCACTGGAATTCTCTGTGTCAGCAGGTGAAGGGATTGGGAATGCTGATCACTTTGCCCTCCCTGTAGTAATGTGAGGTTATCCATCTCTTTTTAAATATCATTAATAGGGGCTCTTCCCAAACTTTTAACACTTTTTCTCAAATACCCTGGAACTAGACTGTACCAGCCACCACCACTCTGCACAGACTAAAGGAAATCATCCTTTCCCTTGTGTAGAAGATGAGAGTTATACACACTCAAATAAAGAGAGATTAATGCTCAGTTTTTATAATGCACCCTTGAATCTTGATCATCCTTGAACTGTCCTAAACCAGACTGTAAGTGATGAACTAGATCTTAAACATAAAGATTTTTTTATTTCACAATAAGATTTGCACATGTTGTAACTCAAATTAGAGGAATCTTCTCTCAGCTCTCTCCAGTGACTCTCCTTTTCTTTCCAAGACATTCCTTATTTTCCTATTTACCTTCAAACCAAAATCAATCTCCAGAGTGGAGACTGAGTCAAGGGCAAGAAGGAAACTGAGACTTATTCCTGAAAAGTCAGCCAACAGAGCAGCAGAAGTATCAAAAAAAGAAGCTGAAAAATCTCTATAGCAATCCTGTGAAAGGGAGTTCATCTGCAAACAGCCATGGGAACTGTAATTTCGAGGGCATGTCAAATCCTGAGCTGCTCATGGATTGTCCATTGTTGGTAAGTTCCATGTACGTTCCTTCCTACTTGTGTAAAAGCTTTGGTTCCTCCATCTGTAATAAAGGGCCAGGTTTTCAGGCTCCTGCAGTGGCCTAGCAGAGATCACAAAATCCCAGAATGGTTTGGGTTGGAAGGGATCTTCAAACTCATCCAGTGCCACCCTGCCATGGCAGGGACACCTTCCCCTGTCCCAGTGTCCAGCCTGGCCTTGGGCACTGCCAGGGATCCAGGGGCAGCCCCAGCTGCTCTGGGCACCTGTGCCAGGCACTGCCCACCCTGCCAGGGAAGGATTCCTTCCTGATTTAAACCTCCAAACCTAAATTTCTAATTTGGAAACTGCCAGTGAGTAACCCAGGTGCTTCCCGCGTCCAGCAAGAGTTAATGCTCTGAGCAGGTGCTCCCTGAACAAGCTGGAGCACTGCACAAGCCTGGAGATGATTTCTGCAAGAAGTCTGAGGTGTTGCTTTTTTGACCTATAAAGGCTTAAGTGGCTCTGCTTGCTTGAGAAATTCCTCTCCCTTTGCATCACACGGCAGCAGCAGCAGCAGCAGCAGGGTTGGAGTGCCAGAGGAACAGTGCCAGGGTTACAGTGGCAGGGGTGGCGGCTGCTGGCACCTTCCTGCTCACCCACTGGGCAGCAATGGAAATACAGAGATTCCCCACAAAACCACTCACAGGGGCAAAGGCTGAGAGGGGAATTCAACACTGGGGCTCTTTTATGGTAGGTAGAGAGGAGATTGCTAAAGTTGGCTTCTAAGATGTAACACAACCAAAGTCCATTGCTGTAGATGATCCTGGAAAATGGGGCAAGGAGAAACGAAACCAGGAAAACATTCTGGAAAAAGTACCTTTGGTGAGCCTCCATCATTTACATGCAGGGTTTTCTGTATTAAATTAAGAATGCATTTCTAAAAATATATTGACCAGAGCACTATGAAGATAATTATAAGTCATAATAAAGAGAACGTGACTTTGACTACAGGGTCAACTCTGCAATACTGATCCTTGGGCAATCCTGTTCTACCTCTGCAGGAAGAGAATATTGCTTTGGAAACAGGACTGGGCCATCCATGCCTCTGTTCCAAGCTAAGTTCTGCAGTCTGTGTTCTCCTGGACAGGCTGACTGCACCTTCCAGAGCCTGACATAACCAAGACCCTTCCAAAAATGCTGTAAGAGCCCCACTTCTTGACTCAATAACTAAATGTATTATGTTGCTAAACTACATTTGAAGAAGCAATTGTGCAGGTATGTCTGCACAGCTTTAGGTTTATTTATTAGGCAGGAGTTCCAGGGACATCCAAGTTAAGCATGTGGCCCGACGTTTTTGCAAGATTGGGGTGTTGACAGCCATGTGCAAAATGAGATGCCCCAATAAAGCCTGATTCTGGTGGGTTTAATATCCCACTATCTAAAAGCAAACTGAAAAGTATTTGTCCCACTGATTTCTCACTTATTTTGTACCTGAAGTGTTACGTCCCCATTTCGTGTTTTCTCTTTCCAGAGGTAAGAACCCGGTACTGGATCAGGACCCAAACAATTCTAAACGTTGTTTTATCGGCCAAGTTTCGATGTTTAGCAGCAGAATTAGAAAGCACAGCCTGAGATCTGCAGGAGAGGTCACAGGTACGCTTGGCTAAGCCACAGCAGTGCCTGGCACCGGGCAAACATCCTGCTGCAGGAGGCACAGCCTGACCCCCTGTCCAGCGCTGCCGCCCCAAAGCCCGCGCTGGCTCCAGGGGATGCGGGGCAGGAGCTCAGCTGAGCACACACAGGGGCACAGTCAGAGCCTGAAACACACCCAGGCCAGCTCAGTGTCTGTGTGCCCAAACTCAACACGCTGCATTACAGCTTCCCCAGCCCGCTCCATCTGGGGGATGACTTCTAAAGGATGAAACTGGACACTGTTCACAGCTTTTTATTGCAAACACCTGCTTGATGCTGCTGTGATGGCACAAAATTCCCACCTGGCATTGCTTCATTTGCTTAGAAACCTCCACACATCCCTCAGGACAGGCTATCATCCTCCCATTTCCAAAAGGTCCTACTCTATACTTTGTGCTCGGTTGCAACACCACTGCAGCTTTTGTAAGGAATAAATATTGACTTTCCTGGACATTGCCTCACAACAGAAGAGGACCTTGAGTACATTTGTCTCAGATATTTTTTTAGCCTGATAATATAATTTTATAGCAGAGATTTCATTCTAAGGAGTTCAAAAGACATGGAAAATCAGGTTTTATTAATGTCACTAACTGTCCATGTTTACTTTCAGACAGCTGACCATGTTCTAAAGCTGGCTCAACTGTCCTTCTCTTCTTAAAAAACTACACAAAATTTATTACTTTTATTTAAATTTCCAGATTACAAATTTAATTAAGATTTCAACATATCCCATTTGGAAAGTCCTGGAAAAATCCAGAAGAAAATTAAGACTTAATACTAACACAGGCTATTTTGTCTTTTTTTTTTTTTGTTCTCAGGAATAAAGCACGGCAGATGAGCCACAGAATGGAGAGAAAACACACCAGGTGTCAGGAAACCAAGCTCCAAACTCAAGCGTGTGCAGGAGATGGATCTGTTCAGTGAATGGCTCAGCTCTGGCTGTGCAGCACCTGCACCTCCTACCCAGGTGTGGAGACACTCTCCCGTTAATAAAGGTCAGAGAACAGCAGTAATTCATCTATGAAAATACCTGGTGGTGCCACCACTGGAGCTCCTGTGTAGGTAACATTCACCCTCCAGGTACAGGCAACAACAAGCAGGGCCAGGGATCCTGGTGGCCACAGCCAGGGTGGGTTTTGGAGCTCAAACTGAACCCCGACCTCGGCAGAGAGTGTGGAAAACCTCATGAATTTCAGAGAGAAAAACACCAGTCCTGTTTTCTGTCGGATGTTTCACATCCCGACATGTGACTTGACACACTCAGCTTTATAACATCAATTAAGATACGAAATAATCTCCATGGACTCAGCCGAGCACATGCACAGTTCGGCAGCAGCGAGGCGCAGCTCGGCCCCGAAGGAAGGCTCAGCCTTCGCACGACGCCGCTCCCCGGCCCCGGTGGCCAAAGCCCGGGGACAGCGCACGGAGCGCGGCACCAATGCAGAGCTCCACGCCGGGACACGGGAGCCGAGGCAGCCGGGAGGGACAGGGGACAGGCTGGGGAGGGACCGGGCACCGCTGCTCTTACCTGGAGCAGTTTCCCTTCGGCCGGAGTCACCTCGGCGACGCTGGCGAACTCCCCTTCCAGGATGATGGGCTCCACCTTGAGCGGGATGACCCTGATGATGGCTTTCTGCGCCGCCGCCCGCTCCGACTCCACGGCCGCCGCCAGCGCCAGCCCGGTGTGGCCCAGTCCTGCCTGCAGGGTCGCCATGAGCAGCCAAGGCCAGAGGACAGCCAGCTGCACCTGGGGGCCAGCACTCATGCTACCAGCAGCGGGCTCGGGCCGCTCATACCGCTCGGGAACGCGTCCTCAGCGCGGCGGGCCCGGCGCTCCCGGCGCTCCGCTCACAGCGGGGCTCGCTCACCGCGGCTCCCCGGCTCTCGCCATCCGCGCTCCGCTCGCCCCGTGCCACGTGCTCAGAGGCCGCCGCGAGCTCACAGGCATATTTTAAACAAACTAACTAAAATAAACCAAAAAACCAGCCCAGTATCCTAAATTGTGAGTCTCTCCTCCGGCAGATAAATCCAGAAGGATCAAGGAAACAGGTTGTAAGCGAGGAGTCAGTTCGGGTGCACAGGGAGCATTAGGAACTCCTCGGTCCCACGGAGATGAGGCACACGGAGGTCTCCCCGCGGATGTGGAGGCCTCCTGTCTCCTGGCCAAGAGTTAGGAAGATCCACAGGTCCAAAATATCCATCCCAAATACCCTCGAGAGACACCTCACCTTCTTGCCAGCATTCCCACAGCATAAGCTGAATGTTATGCGCAGCGATTGGTATCCTTCCCAGAAATTAGGCAGGCGGCATTCCTTGAATTTATGGTGACAAGAAGGCTCGCTCCAGTACCGTTCCCTTCCAAATGGAGTTGATCCCTTCCATCTCCCACATGCCAGAAGCGCTTCATTCAAGTTTGGAGACGAGCTTTACTTTTCCCTTAGAAGCCCATGCTCACAGTCTGACTCCGGGTAGAGTTCTCGAAGGTAATTAATAAAACAGAGAGCTCCTCTTCACGGCTGGAAGTTCCCAAGAAATAAAAAGGCCCCCAAACACTGCCGAAGTTTAGACACGAAGCCCAACAGGTATCAGGCAGAAAGTTACGGCGTATCTGGTTTCTCTGGCACTATTTCTGTGCGCGCCCGAGTTCCGGTATGACCACTTCCAAGCACGCCTTACGAGGATCCCGACTCAAGGCCCCACAAAATAAAATAGAAAGCTCCACGGTCTGCCCAAAGGTCACATGAAACGCATCGAGGAGTCTTCATAACTGGGAGAATTAAGACAGAAAGTGTTTTCGATTTAAATGAAGTTACAGTGATCGCACGGCTCTGGAGAGAAAAGGAGATTTACAAGGAAAAAAAAAAGCTTTGCAAACCTGTTAGGCAGCAAGCCTGCTGGAGTCCGCAGGGGCCGGGCCGGGAGGGAATGCTGCTGTAAATCCCAGGCAAAAGTTACTTCCAGTAGCTTAACAAAACCATGTGGCTCTGAGGATGTTTGGGCTCGGTCTTAAAAAAAAAAAAAAAAAAATAAAAATTGGAATTTGTAACCGTAAAAAAGTATTAAAAAAAAGAAGCAAACTCTCTCTCTCGCACACACGCAGCAGGCAGGTAGGTGCAAGCGGAGCTCTACAGCCCGAAAGAGGATCCAGGGAGATCAAAGGGAGAAAATTAGAACAGCCAGAAAGCTCCCGGGACAGGCATGGCTGCAAGTGAAGTGCCCGCATGTACTCGGCCGAGCTGCGCTGCACCCCCGCGCTCCGGGAAGCTTCCCAAGCGCGGCGTCCCCGCAGCGGAGGCGGGCACCGGCCGTGGCGGCGAGCGCGGCCGGCGGGCAGGGCTGGCACATGGGCAGCGAGCGCCGGCCGAGCCGCTGCCGGGGGCGCGGGCGGCGGGGCGGGGACCGGACCGGGGCTCCGGGGGCTCCGGGGGCTCCGGGGGCTCCCGCGGCTCCGGCGGCTGCGGAAGGTCCCGGCGGGGCGGGCGGCCGAGCCCCGGGCCGGCCGGGCGCTCGTACCTGCGGACACGGGCGGGTGGAGCAGCCGAGCCGCCGCCCCCGGCCGGGCCGCGGGCTCCCCCTCCCGCCCGCCTGCAGCGCCCCGGCCCGCGGGGGCGGGGGACACCGCGCCGGGCCCCGGCCGCCGCTCCGGGCCGGCCGCGCTGCCCCGCGGGGCGCTGCCCATCGCCCCCGCGCTCGGGCTCGGGGAGGTTCCAGGTCGGGCTGATGTCAGAGGTCTGGAATTCCGCCGGGAGGTGGAGGATGCTGCGGGCCGCAGCGGGGATGCCGGAGGGCGCCGGGGAAGCCGCCGGGAGCAGCGGATCGGGCCGGGGAAGCGGACAGCGAGCGGCGGTGCGACGCTCGCGGAAATGGATAAATGGTGCAAAGGAGGAGTCGGCCCCCTCTTTTGTAAACTTGTCGCTGTGCTGAGGGGATTTGTCGTGACAGCCGCAACTACTGAAACACGAAGGATGTTTTCAACTACAACACTCGGTCATTTACAATTTAAAACGCAGAGAAAATGCAAATCAACCCCCATTTCTATTAAAAAAACTTACTGCAGATTCAGTATAAAATGTCAAGTTATCTATTTAAATATCCATATACTTATCTGAGTATCGATACACCTACGAAATATTAATATGCCTACAACTACGTGTATGTACATCTAACTGTGTACACATATAACTGTACATAACTATACACATATATCAATATAACTATATATGAAAATATAATTATCCTATAACTTTAGACATTTATACTATAGCTATATACACATATATAAATATAGCTGTGCACACGTATAAATATAATTATATACATAGGGAGCCCAGCTGGCAGCTGCTGCACATTTTCACATGCTCTCTCTTGTTCCTTCCTTTCCAAAGCACCCCCACTTGAAAGGCACATCTGCCAGCAGATGGAGATCTAGGAAGAAGCGGGAATGCTGAGTAAATCTGGGCCTTGTGTGTGTCCCCTGGCACACACATGGAGGGTGTGCTCCTGTCAGGGACTAAAACATTCAGCTCCGGTTTGGGAATTTCAGGCCTGCAGTTGAAAGAACAGGAATCCTGCTATTCTTCCAGCTTTAAATATAAAACAACAACAAAACAAATTATCAGCAAAGTGCTCCTGTGCTCCAAGATCTTTGCCTTCCCTTCCAACCTTACTAATTCAGTGATTCTGTGAGTCTGCTCAGTGTTAAATACATGCAGATATATATATATATATATAATACGTGCATCATATTAATAGAATTACATATTCATTATTTGACAGTGTTATATAACAATATTCCTAAAGATCTGTGTGAATATAGTAACTGAATACTCCAGAGTAGTTTGGGAAGAGGAGTTAGAGAAAGGGTATTTCTGAAAAAAGAAGAGAATCTGTGTAACAAAAGGGCTGATAGTCCCTGAATTGCTGTTTAACACGGAGACAGCTCCAGGCATTGAGACAGCTCCAGGACCACCATCAGCCTTCTCACCAGTTACCCAGGACACTGAGCCTCAAAACCAAACCACCTCTCCCCAAAACAGGGGCTCACACACCTGATCCTTCAGTTCCCAGCAAGGAGATTTGGGGTGCCGTGATCCTGTGATCTGGCTCAGGAGCTGGCAGAGCTGGCAGGATCATGGCATGGTTTTCATCAGACCATTTGGGGCTGGCCAGCACCGCACGTGGGGAGGGGCTGAGCGAGATCCACCAGCTCCAGCACAGGGACGGGTCCTCTCCTGGAGCCTGCATTTGGTGCCGTGTCAGGGACACCCAGGGCACAGGGTGACAAACCTCGGACAGGAACAGCAGGCACAGCTACACAAAGTGCAACTGCAACTTGTCAGACACAGCCAGATAGAAATCAGTGAGGATGCTTTGTAGCAATCAAATGTTATTAAATTATATTTTCCACAGAAAACAGAAACTTAATATCTGTTTATTAGAAACAACCTGACCATTTATCAAAATTTTCAAATTTAAAAATCTTTAAGAATCTTTAAAAATCAAATTTAAATCTTTGCTTTCAGTGGCAAGTCTCAAAATACTCTTCTATATAAGATTAATAGAACTTTAAAAAGCTTCCACTTCATGAATTCACCTGCACTCAGTTGTATATCTGCCAATAACATTTCCTTCCTCTTCAAGGGTTTGTCCACGACTACAGGGGAATGACTCCCAAGGATGCTTTTGCCATTACAGAGTAGGTCTGAACGCTGCTGAAATGTTCTCCTGTGATCACAAGCTGACAGGGCACAGTCACTCCAATGGCCTTTTACTTTAGTGGAATTCATATAGATCAACCAACCTTCAAAGCAGAAAGAAAAGAAGGAGAAGTCTCAAAACCAGCAAGTCCTACCCAAGGGAAACCATGAGTCCCATTTTAACAAGCAGTGTCTGTCCTGTTCCTTCTGGAGATAAATCACAGTTAAAGGACACTGGAAAGGTAATTTCTTTTGGCAAAGATCATATCAATATGATGAAGAGAAACTCAGGTATACTTAAAGTACACAGGTCATCTTCTGGGATGCAATGCAGGACCTCACACGCATTTCAAACTGGGAAAAGTGCCCAAAGTGCAACTTAAACCCTTTCAGTTTCTCTAGCTAGGACAGAAAAGAATGGGACAAGGGCAGCAGTGAAACAATGAAAAAGGACAAAAGATGGAGAAGTCAGGACTCAAAAGATTGATGGTTTGCTGAGCTCAAAAGGAAAAATGATCAAATTTAGCCATGGTGGTGAAAGTAAAGATGGGAATTTCATTGACAACCAGCCCTTTTCAGGGACTGTCATGACTAAAGCAAAAGCTTTGGAGTCATTTTCTATCCCAAACATCCATTCTGAGGTAAGTTTTGTGATTGTGACTCCCATCACTGGTCCTTAAGTCCTGAATGAAAAAGAAGCTCATGATGAAAGTGAGAGGACAAAGGTGGACTGGGTGAAAAATAAATATTGGAATATCAATGGCCTGACTGGCTGCTGGCTATTCCCATCCTTACACCATCACATTATCCTAGCCATAGCCTGGCCAAGTTGGATATGGTTGGATAAACTTGGATAAGCTTATATTTAAAAAAAAAAAAAAAAGAATAAAAGACAAAGGTTCATATTTGCAAGGCAGGAAACTGGATAATCAAGCTTGGGTAGGTCAAGTCTTTTTCAACACACATAAGCATAACTTGCTTTGCTTGTCCTTTGTGAGGGGGAAAAAATGGATAAGCATTATGCTGTAGTAGAAAAGGAAGCCCTTGCATTTTTACTTCAGAACTTCTGGTATCTGATGAGCCAGGCCCCTCAAGTAAGGAACACTTTCTACTGGAATGATATAAAACATTTGGAGTAGGTCCTGTAGTTCTCTTTAATAAGGCACCTTGGAGGTGGGGCCAATTCCAAAAGTCAGCGGAGTTTTCCTCATTCATCAAGTGAAACTCAGGGCTGTGGAAAGCTGTCTGAAAAAGAGTGGGGCTATCTCCCAGTCTTTTCATAATAACAAAGAATCTCTTTTTGTCCAGGCAAGGACATTCTTCAAAGTTAAACATAGATGTGTTAGCTAAGATAAATTCTGGTCAAGGCAAGCAAAAAACTTTTGAAGAACAAACCACAGCACTGATGAGGACACCCACCATGCTGCTGCCCTGGAACCTCACTTGAACTGCAGAGCTGCTCCTTTCACGTTCAGGCCTTCTTTGAAAGAGACATTTGTGACCCTTCACGCCTTCCCTTGCTCAAGCAGATCCATTTCCAAATTTGTAGCCTTCATCCCAGAGGTCCAGAAGCCCCCAGCTCTCCCCTGCTCCCTGGGCTGCCCTGGGAGGTGCTGCTGCCGTGGCAGGGGAGCTACAGAACCAGCACAGCCTCTGACAGGCACTTACATGGGATTTACACAATAACCCAGAAGGTTTCTAATATCTCTGCCTATTGCCCTTTTTGATGGGATGTTGCTGTATTTTTGTGCTGTTTGGAGCAGCAAATCTGGGAGCTGAACAACACAGAAAGAGCTGGTGGCCATCATTCCAAAGCAGCAGATGTGGGAATGACTCACATTACCCAAAAGCTAATTCTGAGAAGCTTTATGATGAAATCTGGGCATCTTTGAGAACGTTCTGTGACCTGTGAACAGAACACAATTCTGGATACTGCCAAAACCCCTAAATGATATCTGGGAATCTCTCACTGCAAGCTCCAAAGTGTTTGCAAACCTGAGAAACCAACAAAAGGAACCTTTGAAGGGCTCTAGTGAAGACAAAGTGAGCGAGCAATGGCAAAGGAGAACTTTTGTAGCTTGTTGGAATGATTCCAAGGGAAAATGAACAGATACTACAGAAAAAGCCAATCTTCTAAGAAATGATAAGGAAAGACCTGAAGGGGAAAAGAGCTTGTGGAATAGGAGATAAGTGTAAGACACCAAATGTGTCTTTCTGCTGGAAATTGAAGAAATGCCTGGATAATTTCCAGGCATTGTGGGTAGGAATAGGCACCAAAAGGGGTAATCACCAGCTCAGCTGGGCCAAAGTACACGAGACTGACACTCTCCAGCATCTCCCATCCCACTCGAGCACATGCTGCACAGGAAATACCAAGGAAACAACTTCAGACCATCCTTTCACTGGGAACTTATAAAGTCAGGCCCAAAAGTTATGCTGGAGGGGAGGTCGTTACTCATCTGGGGTCAACAGAACTCAAAGCTGTGCAGGAAATTAGGGAATGCAGCTGTGCCTGTTCCTGAACGATCAATGAACACTT